ATCACCACCACTACTACTACCAACACCACCACTACTACTACCAACACCACTACTACTACCAATACCACCACCAACACCACCACCGCCACTACCATCAACACCACCACTGCTACCAACACCACCACCACTACTACTACCAACAGCACTACCAACACCAACACTACTACTACCAACACCACCAACACCACTACCAACACCACCACTACTACTACCAACACCACCACTACTACTACCAACACCACCACTACTACCACCAACACCAACACTACTACTACCAACACCGCCAACACCACACCAACACCACCACTACTACTACCAACACCACTACTACCACCACCACCAACACCACCACCGCCACTACCATCAACAACACCACTGCTACCAACACCACCACTGCCAACACCACCACCACCACCACCTAACAACACCACCACCACCAACACCAACACCGCCACTACCATCAACACCACCACTGCCACCAACAACACCACTGCTACCAACACCACCACTACTACTACAAACACCACCACTACTACCAATACCAACACCACCACCGCCACTACCACCAACACCACCACTGCTACCAACAACACCACTGCTACCAATAACACCACTGCTACCAACACCACCACTGCTACCAACACCACCACTACTACTACCAACAACACTACTACTACCAATACCACCACCACCGCCACTACCATCAACACCACCACTGCTACCAACACCACCACTACTTCCACCACCAACCCCACCACTGCTACCAACACCACCACTACTACCAACAACACTACTATTACCAATACCACCACCACCGCCACTACCACCAACACTATCAACACCACCACTATCAACACCATCACCATCACCACTGCTGTCTGACGCATTAATAAAGCGGCTGCCTCTTTTTTGTACCATAACTTCAGGTCAAGAAGAGATAACAGCTGTAGACCTTAATAGCCATCGTCACCTCACTTAAACCTAACCTAATCCACCTGATGTTCAACCACCCCGACGTTACCCAATGTGCCTAATTTTTATGTGATCAGAATCGTCAAAACAAGTTCACATTGGTTCAGCATGTAAGGTACTGTATAATATAAACAGTGCGAGATACAAATAATGTTGACTCGACCTACAATAAACCCAAGAGACAAGAAGGCTTTAGTGGAGACAGTCTACTAAAACGTTATTACCTTCGAGTTATTTCTCAAGGAGCAAGTTAATAATGTTTATCTTATTACTTTCCTGTGTCGGTTTTAGTTCGGTTACCTTTGTAATATTGTAAATCAAAGTGACGTGAGCGTGAATATAGTCATGTTGTAGTTGTCGTGGAGGCTACAAGGAGGCGGCAAATCATACAACTCTCCAATATTCTTCTTCTCTAAACATTTCTCTGTTCTTAGTAACGAGTGGATCAATATAACGCCAGGAGGGGACAAAAACCAAGGGCCTACGACTGTTAAAAAAAATGTTACATACAAACACAGTAATGATGTTAACCCCACTCCAAAAATGTACAGGTTTCTCCTATATTTGTCAGCGATTAGAAAAGTTTACGTTTTCTATGAAAGTAATTTTTGACAGTGTTAAGAGAGAACGAATTCTTGAATTTTAACACGAGGAACTTTAATAAGTGCCTTCGGAAATTTTATTGACCCGACCTTCTTTAATTTAATTTAAGCCCTTCCCCACTTATTCTCCCTTCTTTTCTCCCCACCCACCTCTCCTGGGATGTCTCCACCTGTCTCGCTACCTCCTCCGACTCCTACTCCTCGATTTAGCCACCACAACTCTCTCTCTCTCTCTCTCTCTTACCCATCAAACTAACACATTATTATTACAAAGCAGCAAAAGAGAGAAAGAGAGAGACCCAGAGGCACTTAAGGTAACGTGTCATGTCTTCAAGCAGGTAGAGAATATCACCTGAACTTCCTGGTACTGATGCTTACCTGAATTATTTTATTTTCCTGTCAGACCGTTGAGCGCGTCTCCTTAACACTTTCAACGTGGCTGTGTAGGTTTATTACTGGTGATGTGTGTGTGTGTGTGTTACCAAAACCTTAGCTGTGTTATATTGTGATGATCAATTTCCTATGTAACTCGTACCTGTCCACGCCACAACTGTACTGTTGCTCCTGAACCAACGAGATCTTCCGTTCATATACAGTAGGCGAGGAAGGGAGTTCTTGCGTTCGTTTAAAGGAGGGAGAGAGGATCCTGCCTTCATTTAAACAGGGTAGGGGGTTTCGCGTTCATTTAAGACAAGGTAGGAGGTTTTGCGTTTACTTTAGACAAGATAGGGGGTTTTGCGTTCATTTAGACAGGGTAGAGGGTTTTGCGTTCACTTGGAGTAGAGTCGATCCAGGGTTCATTTCGTCAATAAAGGGGAGCTTGCAAGATTACTGGATGTACGAGACAGGATAAATAATGAAGAAGAACGGAGAACACTGGATAACAAAAAAAGGAAATACGATCATACCTGAAGTGTGGCGGGTTGTAGATCCCACGAGGAGTGTAGCCTGGACTTACCTAGAAAGAAAAAATGAGACGGGTGTTAAGTTATGATTTTGCATTTGACTTAGTATTACCAATGACAGAATAAAGAGTGTTTTATTGTCTAACGCTTGAGTTCGATGACTTACTATTTCTATTATTGTTAAAAAGAAACTGATACAGTACACACAAACGCACAAATGATGTTAACCGCACTCCAAAAATGTACAGGTTTCTCCTAAATTTCTCAGCGATTAGAAAATTTTACGTTTTCTGTAAAAGTAACTGTTGGACGAGTTAAGAGAAAACGAATACTAAATTTTTAACACGAGGAATTTTTTATGCCTCTCTTCGGAAATTTTATTTACCTAGGGTCTTCTTTAATTTAGTTTATGCCTTTCGCTGTTGATCGGTCTGTTTGCCGATTGGATGTTCGGTCACTTCTCTATTACACACTGTTAGCAAATATTGAGCAAGTACTAGTTCCAGAGTGTACTGTATCTGTACCAGCACCAGTGTTGGTCAATCTACTACTAAATGATCTCACACTCGGTGCCGTCACAACACACGGATATATTTTTCCAAGAATTCTCAACTGTGTAGCTTCTTTAACCTGAAGCTGTGACATCTCTAGTGTGGCGGGAACTTCTAGTTCGATATAAACACTCGACTGAGTCGTGTCCTCTGAGGTGTTTATATAAACACTCGACTGAGTAGTGTCCTCTGAGGTGCTTATATAAATTTCTACTGTCACCCGAACACGGCTATAATATAAACTAGGTAACTGCAGGCGTTCTAATCTCTCTGAGCACCAGAGGTGCCGGAGTGCAGGCACCAGTCTGGTGGTCCTCCTTTTCATGCTCCCAATCAACTGACAGTGTCTAGTTACAATAATACAGTAAATCTCTTGGACCAAACATAGGCCAGAGGCCTATATAGAATACAGTTATGTGGTCTAAATATACACAAACACAGCGACTACACCTACAGGAAAACACAACAACTTTGGTAAAATTAAAGGGCAAATAAACTAGAATCATTTTTTAAATCAAACTCCTTGAATGTCAAGACAAACTAAAAGCTTTGGGACTGATCACTGTTTCAACAAGACACGACAAGGGCGGACCTCTTAAAAATATAAGATTCTGAAATTGATGAAGACACCAACCCAGACCATTCCTTGAGGGTGTTACAATGGTTAATAGTTTCAAGAAGGCAAGTTGTAGTGTAAAACAGATACTAGTAAGTTATTTGTCACTCGGAGAATGACACACCTCTGGAACTGTAATCGATTGGTAAAGTTCAATGTAAGGCTTATGACATTCAGTCATAAAACCTCACGTATACAAGGATCTCTATCTCTCATATTTGTTTAATGTATTTGGACCAGTGTATTACTAACCTTGTTACGTGCTTCAAGACCTTTGTTACTGAAGAACAGTAATAACATTATAGCAACTACCTCACGTAAAGTTCCTAATGGACTTTACCTGCTAATCTTATCCTCGTCTCTAATATTCCATATATCTCTAATTGATTATTGGTGTTTTCTCTTATTCTCCATTCCTTTCTCTCCGTCCCTAATCCTCCCGTACTCGCCTTCTCTCGATTCAGAGAGAGAGAGAGAGAGAGAGAGAGACCCGGAGGCATTAAGGTAACGTGTCCTGTGTTCAGGTAAGTAGAGAATATCACCTGAACTTCCTGGTACTGATGCTTACCTGAATTATTTTCTCTGGTTTCCTGTTAGACCGTCGAGCACCAGTCTCCTAAACACTTTCAATGTGACTAGTGGTCCTTAGGAAAACTCTGTGTGTGCGTGCATGCGTGAAACTGGACTGAAGAATACTGTGTTATACTGTTAACAAAACCATAGCTGCTATACTGTTAACAAAACCATAGCTGTTATACTGTTAACAAAACCATATCTGTTATACTGTTAACAAAACCATAGCTGTGTTATACTGTTAACAAAACCATAGCTGTGTTATACTGTTAACAAAACCATAGCTGTATCAGACGAAGCTAAGTGTTAGTATGATGACATACCATCGGCTGGGACTCACTTCTGTGATGTCAACTAGACGTGTTTTGATCGCTGGCATTGTTTGGGCGCTGATGGTGTTCATCAGCTGGGGTTCAGCGAAGCTTTACCTGACCACAACATTTTCTATCCCCACCTTGATAACATCTACCCATAACGACGCTGTTCGCCAGGCGCATCATCACCAGCAGTGTCAAGCTATGTTTACTATTGATAAAGGGAAGGGTGGTGGTATTTGGTACACAGGTACGTGTGTCTGTCTGTCTGTCTGTTTGTTTAATAAATCAATAAGCGACTTTCCTGGTTCAATCATTCAATCGCTCACCCATGCATGCATTCCTCTGAGAACGATGAATTATTTTCCTTACAAAATTATAGTTGAAACATTGACCACAAGGGGCTAAGAATAGGTGAACTTTGTCTTTTGATTTTGTTTATCGTCATCAGATGCTCCCTATGAGAAGCTGAGCCGACAGCTGACATCACTTTTGGCTGACACTGAGTTTAACGTCAGCAGTGATAAAGCGAACGCCTCCGTCAGGATGCACTCAGGTCCTCGTCTCCAACTGATGGAGGGCTCCGTTCCATATATCCCCTGCCAGGTAACTCCTCCCCACCTATTACCATACATCCCTTGTCAACTGAGTCCCCAAGTAATGTACAGTTACCCACAATTTCACCTGTTACCGTGGTTGGCGTGTTTTGTGAGACGTGGCATCTGTGTTTGTTTACATTATAGTAAAACTCCCGGAATGAACCTCGCAATAGTAGCCAGCCTGAATGTAAGCATTTTTTGCATGGTTACAGTTTTAATACCGTTTACAAAATAGAACGTCATTGGATCCTATTTGCTAAACGGTGGCGGTGTGGCGAAGTGTTGTGACGTAGGAGAGGGAGGGGTGGGAGGTTCTCTTCACCAAGTTCACCGGTTAGGAAAGAGGTGCACCGACGTACTGTCATGCTTAGTAAGGTGTCATCAATCTGTAAATGATGACATGCTCTCCTTGTTAACCTTTTTGCCACACCGCCACCGCCAAGCAGATAGGAGACAATGACGTTCTATTTTGTAACACCCATACGACCACAGAACTAATGACCCCCCTCCTTCCCTCTACACCTCCACGTCCACAAAACTAATGACCTCTATCACCCACACCCATCCACGCCCACAGATCCGTCATTACGAGGCGAAGGACGTGGAGAGATGCAGTGCGGCCAGAGCAGCTAAGGGTAAGAAGACTTGGATAGCTTTCGTCGGCGACTCCAACCAGAGGCAAAAGGTATATTCCTTGATGAGATTCCTACCACCTGAACTGATGTACACATTTTACCTGGGCAATAAACAGGTAAGACATTAATTAACACAAGAGAAAAAATCAAGTAAATGAGTTTAAACTGTAAAATTGTTGATTAAACAACTTGATACAAAAAAATTATGAAAAACTGAATAAATGGATTGATAATTAGACCAATAATAAAAAAAAATATTAATGACATGCCGACATAGACCATAATATTGGCTGTTGTTTTCTTTAGGTAACTCGCGAAGAATTTAGAAGGGCTGTTACCTATCATGTACACAGACCTCCAACCTTCGATATTCTTGGCCGGCGACCCTCCACGACCTCCAAGACTACTAAGACCTCTACGACCTCCACCACAACGACAAGTTCCACATCAGATCTTCCTGGTAGTTATCACCTCGACACAAGTAACCATAGTCATAGCGATACTGACGATGCTGGTGGTTACAGAGGCCTTAAACGAGACTCTAATAAAGGCAGCAGTAGTAACGAAAAAAACGAACATGATAACTTTAACGGTCAAAACGGTATTAACAGTCATAACGGCTTTAATGGTATGAATGGTCAAGATGGTATTAACGGTCTTAATGGTGCTAACGATTACGGTATTAACCGTTATAACGCCATCAACGGTTATAATGGTACTGACAGTCATAACAGTACTAACGGTCTTAATAATAACGGCCATAACGGTATTAACGGTCATACTGGACTTGGTGCTTATGATGAAAACAACGACTCGAAAGGGGAGGAGGAAGAGGAGGACCCAAGTGACTTCTCTTACTCGGAGGAGGAGTTGCTGGAGGAGGATGTACCACTCGACTCATACGACCTGAGGGTGACTCTGGTGTGGGCGCCAGGAGGCTCCCTCAAGATCATGTCGTCTTACACCGAGGATCACCTTGAACAGAGAGTCACAAAGCTACAGGATTGGGCGAAGGGGGATGTCGTTCCTGACGTCATGGTGGTGGGTGAGTGCCTGAAGGGAGTCCCCCATCCTCCCGTTATCCTTTATTATCTTCACGGTCTCACTCTCTACCTCAGGTTAGGTTAGGTTTAACAATGTTAGTCATGTGGCATAAGTCCTGTGTATGTGTGTGTATGTGTGTGTGTGTGTGTGTGTGTGTGTGTGTGTGCCAACAACTTCAACATCATGAAACCTCGAGACCTTAAAGTTTGCATATAGGCTTAAGAAACCTTGAGACTTTTCACCTTAATGATTTTATTTTAAATTTGGGTAAAACTTAATGAGTTGAGGGAGGTTGGGTTGGTTTAGTATTGGTATGATTAGGTTTGGTTGCGTTGGGTTAGTTTAGGTTGAATTGGATGGCAATAGTTTAGCTTGGAATAGACATGGATTAGATCAAGTTATATATATATATATATATATATATATATATATATATATATATATATATATATATATATATACTGTAACCCGTAAGAAGTCGGGTATACTTTGCATAGTAACTATTATACACTGGGAATTATTTTTCGATGATCCTGTATAGCCTATAACCTCACCAGCAGATCCAGACATCACGTTCTCCCTCCTTGTCTTCGCCAGGATATGCTACGTGGTTCATAGTTATGAGGACGGCCTTGGGTGAGTTGTCCCACTTCACCAATCTGCACCGGCTGTCTCACCCTCTGGTCCAAACCCTCAGCCGCCTCGCTCACAAGACCCGGATGCTTCTCTGGTCACAGAGTAGGTGAGACAGAGTTCACCCTCCACAAGATTCGTAGATAAAGTTTTTCTTCCTTGTTTAAGATCACATCTTCTTTGGGTAAAGTTTTACTGCAATTTTGTCAACATTTTGATCACTATTAATGAACTACACCTCAACAAGACAGTTTTAGTTGCCTATCCTGAAGTTAAAGAGCAACAACTCGAACCTTTTCAGACTCAAGGATCAAATTCTTCTTTCGTTATGATATATAAGAAATTTAGCCTATACGAATATTCATTTTACTTTATAATTTAGAGAAATATGAAAGATATGAGGTGGTTCGGGCGATAAAATAGGCAAGTGACCAAAGTGTATTATTAAAAATAAAAGAAAGAGAAAAAGTAATAAATATAATGGTATAATGAAAACACCCCAAGCGGCTTTGTCACTTCTCCTGTTCTTGCCCGCAGTGTCCCAGGTGTTATTTGACTCCCTCCTACACTCTCCCAGGTATCGTTGGTTTAACTTCGAGAACGCAGATGTCTCCCCTAACTTGAAATACCTTCTCTACATTACCCAATTCAGGGACTCCCTCCCTCTCATGGACGCCTGGCTGTGGTCGCTACTCAGGTAAGTTAGTTATCTACATTAAGCCTCTAAAAAGAAAACCTGAATATTAGACACCATATTTTGTCACCTGAAGATTAATCACCCTAACACTAGCCTAGGCCTAGTCACTTAACCTAACCTAATCTCACAGTAACTTGACCTAACCAAATCGCATTCCCATGTAAAATTAAGGTGACTGGTCATCAAGACAGTGAAAAGAGTTGGGGTGTTTAATGTTCAGGTGATCCGGTTTTATTCAACTTAGGGTAACCTAACAGTAACTAACATTAACATATATAAAGTAGAGTCATGTTTCACCCTCGATTACCACCACCTTCTCCTCATCCACCAGGCCCACGGGGACATGGCAATGGGACTCGACCTTGCCTTTCAACCTGGCCAACCTGAGAGAGTGTCAAGCGTACAAACAAGCCAAGCTCTACGCCGACCCAATCTACTCGCGCAAAGGTAACATCATGATCTATAAAGCCTTCACTAACAAGGTCACTGCCACAGTCATAAAAATCTAAATACATAATATATTTCGGCACAGAAGGTCAGTTTCCGTGAGTTACGACCATTTTCATTGGTATATTTGTTTACACGAGTTACCCCCTCTTGTTTCTCTCTCCTGCACAGCTAGTTGGTGGCAGTGTAACGATGTTCAACACGCCTCCTTCGAGACCAACGCCAACGAGATTCACATGTTGTTCAACTTCCTATGTAACTCGTACCTGTCCACACCACAACAGTACTGTTGCTCCTGAAACAGGGAGATCTTCCGTTCATATAGGCGAGGAAGGGAGTTCACGTGTTCGTTTCAATGGGGGAGGGCGGATCTCACGTTCACTTTGACGGCAAAGGAGGATTTGCAAGATTAGTGGATACAAGCGATAGGATATATACAGATGAAGAACGGAGACTATTGGACAGCAAAAACTAAAAAAATATGATCGTACCTGAAGTGTGACCTGTAGCCTTGACTTAACTATGAAAAAAAGACGGATACTTCAGTGTTAAGACGACAAGTTTCTGTATCCTGTTTACAGTATTACCAGTAACAGAATCAAGATTGTTTTATTTTGTTATCCCTTTATATACGGCTAGATAGATTCATGGATGATAGAGAGTGGTAGTAACTCTCGACAGGAGCTGCCATACACAGGCCAACCGGCCTATTGCAGACTCCTTATTTTCTTATGTTCTTATGTAATTCGCCAGTTTTAGGTGATTTGACCTAATTAATAGTTGATTGTGCAAGTGTTAAAGTAACGTAGTTAATGTGCTTTGAGTGAAGTATTTTATGTCCTGTATGTCCCTTTGAAACGTTGAGGTTCGTTATAAACAGTCAGTGAGCCGCCACGCTTCCCACCCACAGGTCCCTATCGCAGCCTAGGCCATGTCTGTAGCGTGGATGACGCATCCACTAGTCTTGGGAGATGTCTGAGGTCCAGTGGAGTCGGGTGTCCCCTTGAACCCCGACAGTCAGAAGCTCCACTACCACCCATGGGCCCCATAGGGGGTACTATTCCCCTGACGCCATGCCCACGTGGTGAACCCGGATCGTCAAGCCCCACAAACAACTGCCATCATTGGTGGATGAGTACAGTACATAACTCGGTGGGGCTATTGGTGTGGTGGTGGTGTTAGTCCACCGGAATTATCGGAGTTTGTTGGAAGGTGTCACTTGGTGAGGAGACTCCCATGGCGGCCGCTGGAGTATTGAGTGTTATACTGGCAGGTGCCACTGGTTTTAATGGTGCTAAGGTGCTGTAAGAGTTTGTGTGTTTTTTAGTGTGTACACCCAGTAGTGGTGCAAGTAAATTGAGCCTGAGAGCATGGTACCAGGAGTTCCTGTTTTGGGTGAATACAACGTCTTCTGTAACCATTTTTGTGTTTAATAAACAGTCTATTTGTATGTGGGTCTATGATTCACCTAGTATTCACCGTTGTTCTTTCCCTAATACTCGATACTATACTTACATGTACCCATGGGCCTTCCTCTCACGTCACGCTCCCAGGTCAGAGTATTAATGTAAGTTGTTGTAAAGAGTGCCAAGCCCTTACAGGGTGGCAGCTTGTGGTGCACACTCATACAAATGGTAGTAGTGGCTCCCGCTCTTACAAATGGTGATAGCGGTGGTGATGTAATGTACATAGTATCGAGTTGGGAGGAATGACTGATACTGTGGGTAATTTTTTTTTAACTGTGATTTGTAATAACCATTTCACTGTAACTAATGAATATTTCAGATTGCTTATGTAATTCTGTGCAAAAAAATTTTTTGTGGTTTTACGGAGAAGTTGAAAACTTCACGGCAAATACTTTACTTGAGGTTAGGTTAGAACTATTGCCTCAAGGAAATTAGAAATCTGGTTCAAAGTAAAGTGTACAGTAGAGTGTGGGAATTTGTATTGTTCAGAGTGTTGAAAAGTGTCTGAGAAACAGAGGTTAGCTACCTAACTATTTTTTTGCATTCTTTTGTGAAATCTCAGAAAAGTGTTGGTTGTATACCAAGGTGATATTTTTTTTTGGGGGGGTGCCTTTCTGCACTGATAACATAGCAATTGTTGAGATCACTCGAGTTAATACTTTGATATTTACAGACAATGGGCGAGCAGTGAACATATGCCGTGTTAAGAGTGTGGTGGGCAGTGTTGGTTTCTGAGTGCAACGGAAGGCCATAATTGAACTAAGGTTATGTAACTGCGTGTTATTTGAAATTGTGACATATTTTGGATGTATTTGTTTTTATTTCAATTGGAAGTGTTTTAGTTCTCAGTTGACGTCAGTTTTGACAAGTGAATTTATTTGTATAACGCGAGTTGTGTTATATTTCCGAGGATTGTACTTTTGTGTTGTTTCTATTAGAGTGATTTTAATGCCAAGGGCATTAGTTCTAGCAGTGTAGACTAACAGGCATGGTCAGTAAGAGTGTTTTATGTTTATTTGAGATCTAATACATGTGCAATTTCAGCAATTGCTTTGATGGGTTGAGGACTCTGTGGTGATATGAACATCTGTGAAAGAACGCAATCTTTGAAAATTGATTGTTGAAAGTACATGTAAGGACCCCCAAAAGAGAGCTGTACGGACAATGACCTACTTGAGAAAAACAGATCACACAAACGAAAAATTTGCAATATTGAAATTTTTAAAAATCGATGATATTGACACTTACTGCTGTGCCCTCTTTGTTTACAAATCTATCAATCACTTGCTTGACAATAATTACTTCCAGTTCCGGAATAATCAGAGATGCAACTTAAGGCACCCAGAGCTACTAAGACCACCCCCCCCCCACCCCCATGCGCTCCTCTCAGTCCTAGACCCCCATAAAATATCACGGTGTGAAGGCGTGGAACAACTTACCCCCACCCACCCGAGCAAAGACTACGCTCCCTTCCTTTAAATCATCTCTAAAAAAATACCTACTGTCGAAGTATTAATACTTCTTGTAACACTTACTATATTTACAGTACCTGCTTTTATTGTACCATCAAAACCGTGGCCTCGGTGGCTCAGCAATAAGTAATAGCAGCCCCCGCTCTTACATCAGGACAAATTTACCAACAAAAACACAGTGAAGTTTCAGAACAAACCCCTGCCACTTACCACAAGTACTTACGTGACTCTATAATATTTCGAAAATATTGATAACTTAAACATTAGCCCTTTGAGAATTACCACGATTATTTGTGAATGATAACTTAACCTTTTGAGAATGATAAACTAACCGTTTGAGAATGATAACAACCGCTTGAGAATGATAACTTAACCGTTTGAGAATGATAACATAACCGTTTGAGAATGATAACTTAACCGTTTGAGAATGATAACATAACCGTTTGAGAATAACCGTCATTGTTCTCTAGGGGTTAAGTCATTGTTCTCTAGGGTAAATATCAAACTGGGGCCTAGTTAATGTCCTCATTATAACACAGTGTTCTACTCACCTTTGAATCAATGACAGATGAAAAAGTCGACATCGTATACAGTCAATTGAGGCAGTGCCATCTGTATTGCTGCCACTTTCCGACACTTCAAGACCACAGGTGACACTCTCCGACTTCTTAACACCTGTGACACTTGACGAAAACGACACCTTAACTCCTTGTGACACTTGACATTCTTTGAAACTTTACATATCTTGACGGCAGTTATCTTCTATTGACACCTCATGGCCACAACACTTCATGACATTGTACCTATGATTCAACATACATTCTACGACACTTTGCTACATTCTACGCCGGTCTATAGATCCTTTTATGACACTCTTAAGACCTAATTTCTTTGTATAGTTCCGATACAAAATGACGATTGTTTGCTCTTCCGTGAGCTGACGTGTTGAAGGCGGCGGCAGCACTACTGACGAAGCAAGAGGTGGTGTGTGGTGGGGGGCAGAGAGTCAGGGTTCAAAGTTCGACCACACTCGAAAATTTGTTCGAACCTGAGTCATTTTTGGTCCTTGTCTCTGTCTTCTCTTGCTTACGTCTCTTATCTTATCTACAACATCCACAAAAATACTCCTTAACAAATATCCTAAATCATCCACCCCAAAACATCCACATCATCCACTCTACATCATTTTACTACTGTATGAGTGAACGAGAAAAGACCCTTCGAACACAAGACCCCGAAGCTTCTGAACCACTAAATCACTGACGTCATCCATGTGTTGCCAGAAAACTTGGAACCAAAATTACTTTATTTCTTGTTGTTATTTCTGCCCTGGGTAATTACCTACACACAAACAACCAATCATAGACTATTTAAATCTCGGAATTTATGCACGGCAAGAAAATTCGTAACCTCCACGATACTAAAGAGTGTCAACAAATGTAGTTATCTAATACACTGAATCTGTCTAAACCGACTCTAAAGGGCTTAGCCTTATTCTGAATATACGTAAGATTTGTTAAAGTTTAATAATGTGGACTTTATTATAAATCCATAAATTAAATCAATATACTACGAGTACAACTTGTTAACTACAACACTAGTACATGTTGTTAGATACTCTGGGCACAGTCCATTACTTTATTTTGTGCCTTTGAATATTTATTTTAAGTCTTTATGTAAAAGTCAATAAAATATTCCTGGACATTACAGTTTAAAAAAAATTAATACGTTCCATTTTTTTTAGTTCAAGAAACATATAATGTATGTAATATATTGTACAGTACAATGAAAGTCACATATGCCTGGCGGCCGGTTAAAGACAGCGTGGATATAACACACAATATACTTCAATAGTACTACAGGTAACTATTCGGTACACAAGTCGGCAGGGTGACCGGCACGTCATTACTCCGTCCTACAGTAAAGTTAAGGTACCCACCCATTTGCTACTGTGTGTGTGTGTGTGTGTGTGTTAACCCAAATTTCTGCTCCATAATGCCGTGGCAGCATAAAACGACAATTTACCAACTGTTGGGGAAGATCGCAAAAAACTGTTTTAAAAATGTATTGACGTTAGTGATGCCACAATAAATCGGACTACATTACGTTAATAAAAATATATTATGACTATGCTCAACTTATCATTATTCAACTCAATCAACTAACATAGGAGAAAATGTGAAGGAATTTTTGAAGGAATGATCCAAATATTTCATTCAAGTTCCAGTAATTTGTCACCTCCGAAGAAAGAATTCTCACGCCACCGAGGGAAGGAAAGTTTCTTAAATACAAACTTTCCTCAAGATTTTTCCCAAGTGTCTGTCAATAGAATGAAAGTTTTAAGAATACCAGCGTAAGAACTGTCACAGATGATAAAAGCTACGATAGAACCTCAAAGACAAGGACAAGGAGACGATAAGGAAGGAAGCGATGATAACAGAGATATAACCAATAATGGATACTGTATATAGTCTCTGTTTCATAACTAGTTCACGGACATATAAAATGTAATTTGTTAGTGAAAATAGATTGTTATTTCAAGCTTCACTGGATGTATTTATTTACATACACACTTCACTCAAGCGAGAATAAAGTCCGTTAAATTTTCAAGACTTTCATTATCTTTATTTAGAAATTACGAAGATGAAGCACTTACTGAAACAAGGTTAATGCTTTACACTAGTGGCATATAATAATTCAACCTTTTAAGGATAGTAGTTTAACCCATTGTGGATTATGTTTAAACTCTTTGATAACGATGATTCAACCTTTTGAGAACTGTTTTAACTCTTTAGCGACAATAATTTAACCCTCTGAAGACGATGGTCAGGGCCGTCTCCAGGAGGTCTGCGGGGCCCGGGGCAACTCAGCCACTGCGTACTCCACCAACCCCCATGGGACTGCCGCTATGGATGGTAAGGTCACGGTTGCGATGGTGGCGTAAGCCGTCAGGTCAGATTAACCAGTCAACAGGTAATGTGTCTGAGGTCACTGGGTCTAGTGCTGGGCCCCGCGGGGCCCCCCACACGCGCGGGGCCCCGGGCGGTCGCCCCTGTTCGCCCCCTAAAGGACGGGCCTGACGATGGCTAAACCTTTTGCTGATGCTTTAACTCACTGATAATTAGGACTTAACCCTTTGAATGTGATTTACATGTTTCATAATCTGCCGAAAATTATTATTATTATTATTATTATTATTATTATTATATACGCAGACATTGGCTATGAGGCAACAGCCACTGAATGCCTGATAGATCTGCGGCTTAAATAACTCAGCTATGGTAGTTAATTTTGTATTAGAATATTTAAGTAATAAAATGGTGCTGAAGGTAAGGCTATAAGAGGAGGTTGGAGGCCACATTCTGTAGTAACAAAAAAGTAATAGTAATAGTAGTAGTAGTATGTTTCATTGCTTTTTTTTTGGCTGTTACTGTTAGTATTACTTTAATCATAACTATTAGTATTATCGCAATTTCTATCGCTAATAACACGTAATATTACAACAAACAACATGTGACCTTAAAGACAAAACAAAAGTAGATGCGTGGATTATCGTCAGCGTGACCAAGGTCAGCATTGACGTCACAGCAGCTCTCCTGTTCCAGAGATCAGGAGTGCAAGGACTGTGACCAATGGGACGTTTCCATTCCTGCATTACGAAGTATAGATAAACTCTTCTGCTCCAATACGTATCTAGAAGGACGCTCTGCTTTTCGACCGTGCTTCCGTTACAATGGTGTGTGGTGGGTGGCGGTGGGCGGGCGTGGGTGGCGGTGGGTTGGTTGTGGGTTAGTGTAGGTGGCGGTGGGTTGGTGTGGGTGGCGATGAGTTAGTGTGGGTGGCATTGAGCAAAGGTGGGCTTTGAGAAATACCCGCGCTATCCACCCGACCGACCACATACCCCAAGACCAAATACCTTTCCACCCGATCGACAACTTATCCACACGACAAACCACCTATCCACATGACTGACCACCTATACACATGACTGACCATCCATCCAGCTTGTAGCGTAGAAAATGTACCCTTATTCAACTCCCAATGTCAAGCTGAGTTTCTTCTTCTTCTTCTTCTTCTTCTTATTCTTATTCTTCTTATTATTATTATCATTAATATTATTATTAATACAGTATGATGATGATGATATTGATGATGAGTAGTAGTAGTAGTGGGGGAGGCTGGAGGCCACAAAAAAGAAAAAAGTAGTAGTAGTAATAGTAGTAGTAGTAGTAGTAGCAGCATTTTTTGTAGTAGTAGGGGAAAAGATTCATTAACTATCTATTTACTACAAGTCAGTAGGTCAAGTCACTCTTTTATACTGTACGTGCCGCTACAGCAGTGCCACTGAATGGTTCCTATTTTTTTATAATTAACATTAATTTAACTGGTTTTTTTTATGGTAGGTAGGTAGGAAGGTTAGGTAGGTAGGTAGGTTAGGTAGGTAAGTTAGGTAGGTAGGTGGGTAGGTAGGTAGGTAGGTTAGGTAGGTAGGTAGGTAAGTAGGTTAGGTAAGTAGGTAGGTAGGTAGGTCGGTAGGTAGGTAGGTGGGTGGGTAGGTAGGTGGGTGGGTTAGGTAAGTAGGTAGGCAGGTAGGTAGGTTAGGTAGAGGTAGGTTAGGTAGGTAGGTAGGTAGGTAGGTAGGTAGGTGGGTTGGTAGTTTAGGTAGGTAGGTAGGTGGTGGGTGGGTTAGGTAGGTAGGTGGGTGGGTTAGGAAGTAGGTAGGTAGGTTAGGTAGGTAGGTGGGTTAGGTGGGTGGGTTAGGTAGGTGGGTGGGTAGGTGGTAGGTTAGGTAAGTGGTAGGTAGGTAGGTAGGTGGTTGGGTTAGGTAGGTAGGTGGGTGAGGGTGGAGGTAGGTAAGTAGGTAGGTAGGTTAGGTGGTAGGTGGGTTAGGGTAGTTAGCAGGGCAGGTAGGTAGGTAGGGTTAGGTAGGTAGGTAGGTGGGTGGAGTTAGGTAGGTGGGTGGGTGAGGTAGGTAGGTAGGTAGGGGTAGGTAGGTAGGTAGGTAGGTAGGTAGGTAGGTAGGTAGGTAGGTAGGTAGGTAGGTAGGTAGGTAGGTAGGTAGGTAGGTAGGTGGGTTAGGTAGGTAGGTAGGTGGGTTAGGTAGGTAGGTAGGTAGGTAGGTAGGTAGGTAGGTAGGTAGGTAGGTAGGTAGGTAGGTAGGTAGGTAGGTAGGTAGGTAGGTTAGGTTAGGTTAGGTAAGTAGGTAGGTAGGTTAGGTTAGGTAGGCAAAACTGTCAAACACGCACATAGTGAGTCGGCATATATACATAGTGAAGTAAAGAAACAATGAATCTCTGTGACCAAGTCTAGTCCCAACAAAACACTATATAGATCCCTTTGTTTACGCTGGGGCGGAGGGGGGCTAACCAGTAACAATATATCTACAGAAAAAAAGAAAGTGCAATTATAGGTTAGGTGTATCAAGGTGTAGGTCGACTGAGTACACCTAATAGTATAAAATTAGGTTCGCTGATCTTAGTGTCTTGACGGATCATATCTTTAATATGTTTGTTGTAAGATGGGTTGAGTAACCTAACCTAACCTAACCTAACCTAACCTAACCTGACCTTAGCTAAAATGGTAAAGATAAATAGAAAGAATTAACGAATATAATTAAGATCGACTAAAACCACGGCCATCACTGACACAAAAACATCACCGAGATAAACAAAAGAAAAACAAAAGTAGAAAAAACCCACATTGTTTATAAAGTTTTGTAGCATAGTTGCGTGATACTACGTGCCGAGTGGATGGGCAGCCATTTACCGCCAGCCAGGTGTATGTACAGTATAGTGGAGCAGAGACGGTACAAATACAGCCGTGTCTGCTACCTGTCTTCACTCCCACTCTCGTCGCTGTTGCCACTACTGCTGCTTCAGATCCATCTCTTACAACACCAAGATGAAGTAAGACTCTGTGTGTGTGTGTGTGTGTGTGTGTTTCTGAGCTGTATGTCTGTATTTCTTCACTGTGTTCATCTGTCATTCATCTGATACATAACACATGGTCACTGTATCAATATTATTCATCTGATACATAACACATGGTCACTGTGTCAATATTATTCATCTGATACATAACACATGGTCACTGTGTCAATATTATTCATCTGATACATAACACATGGTCACTGTATCAATATTATTCATCTGATACATAACACATGGTCACTGTATCAATATTATTCACCTGATACATAACACATGGTCACTGTATCAATATTATTCATCTGATACATAACAAATGGTCACTGTATCAATATTTGGGAGCTCATATTTGTTTTTGGCGACTCAAAATTTGGTCACTTTTTATTTTGTTCAACAAATCATTATACTTTCTTTTTTATCTTCCAGGAAATAGATCTTGTATATTTTCAGTTCGTCGATGTAGTTGTTCTGATCATTATTTTCTTATTTGTCATTCGATATCATCTCGTTATTCATTATTCGTTATCATATTGTTATTCATTATTTGTTATAATTCTTTATCCGACGTCCACACTCAACATTCAATTTGGTGAAATTCTAGACACACATGTCTATATACACACACATATTCCTATAAATACACTGACATATACATACGCAGACACATACATATTATACCGGATACACAACACACTCTCTACAGCCCTCAACACACACACACAAACACCTGTTAGTGATATAAACTTTCACAAGTGTTCTTCTGTGCCAAGGTTTGCCCTGGCGGTGATGGTGATGCTGGCCATGGTGGGCGTCAATTACGCCTTCAGCTCCCAGGACCTGAGTTCTCGCAACCAGCAGATGGACGAGGTCGATGAGGAGGACTCTTACACGAGGTACCACTGTCAGTCAGACCATTGGGTAGTGGTGACTGTCACTCAGACCAGTGGGTAGTGGTGACTGTCACTCAGACCAGTGGGTAGTGTTGTCAGTCAGATCAGCAGGTAGTGCTGACTAATAGTCACATGAGCGGGTAGTGCTGACTGTCAATCAGACCAGCGGGTAGTGGTGATTGTCACTGAGGGAGTGGTAAGTGACTGTATGGCTAATTAATAGTATGACTGATAACTTGGTGGGAGAGTAACTTGATAACAATTTAATGGGGAACTAGTTAATAGTGAGTGTGACTGTGGGAGTTATTGACTGGTGAAACTGTAACAGCAGTTAATGGGGAGGCATTGTATGCCCACTTAACTGTTAAGACTAAATAAACAGTCACTAGCGAGACCGTTAACTCTTTCTTAATTAATTTCTGTTTCTTAGTGTACACCAACGCGTCCGTCGTCAAGATGAGGACTATGAAGATGACTCTGACGAGAGCTCTGACGAGGACTCTAGCGACAGTGAATCGAGTTCGGAATCAGAATCGGAAAGTGACGAGAAGTAACCAATAGGACGTCTACTTGTACTACTGGCAACCACGGCGACCACCAACAAACATCTCTCTCCCCTCCAATCAACAGCTGTTTTATCTCTCCCTCTCCTCCAATCAACTGCTGTATTCTATCACTCCCTCTCCTCCAATCAACAGCTGTTTTATCACTCCCTCTCCTCCAATCAACAGCTGTATTCTATCACTCCCTCTCCTACAATCAACAGCTGTATTCTATCTCTCCCTCTCCTCCAATGTTCAACAAGTGCTTGGTGAGACAACTAGACAAGCACAGGCCAGACAAACATACACACTCACAGAAAATGTAAACCTTCACAAGAATGAAGAAACCTGATTTTTAAGTTGTCATAGTTAAGTTGTCATTGTTTCAGGCAAATAATTGTTTTGTTAACTTAATTTGTACTGTATATGTATCCAAAAGAGATAAAAATAGCATACTACTACTACTACTACTGCTACTACTATGGATTATACTGTAATGTTAAAATATATTACAAATAACACATGTATTCGTCAACAAAAATCAAACTAATAGCAACAACAATATGAACATTTGAAACAACATTTTAATTATAATAATAATAATAATAATAATAATAATAATAATAATAATAATAATAATAATAATGAGCATTTTCCATCACACTTAGATGATTATCACAAGTAACTAAAAAAAAAGATACAAAATTAATTGATCCAGACCAAATATTGTATAAAATAATTCAGTCAATAAAAATTTTCCTGATCATCTTGTTGTTCCGTTCTTCCTCCTTTACCGTGGCGAGGGTGAATGAATCAACAACATAGCCTAGCCCCCTTCAGTCTCCCTTCTCACACTCAGTCTCTCGATTTCTTTGATTTTGTCACTCCAGATAAACGAAATGTAATGAAACTGGGGTAACTGAGGAGAGACATGTTTCTAAATGTAACTGACAAGTCCAGTGCTAACCAACACTAGTACAGTACATGTTAATAAGTATTATTTAAGAACTTTAACTGCATCTGCCCGAAGTGAGCAACAGAAAACTGACCGAACGTTTAATAAGTTGACAAGTGGCGACGTTGATAAAGTATGTAAGAGGAAAGACCAAGACGAACATTCAAATATTTATCATTCTTTTATATACCGAACCTCCAGAAAAAAAAATACATATTATAAACAGTGCCAGATGAGGAGCTACGACACGCCAACTACATTTCCGGGAGAATATTATCTCAAAGTCAGAGACGTCCATTCAATTGGTCTGCTTTTGGAGTGATGCGTAGGTGATGTTAGTCCTTTGAGGGCGGTGGTTTAACACATGATCCTTTGAGGATGATAAGTGGAGCAATAATCTCCAAGGGGTTAAACCGACGTCCTCAAAGGGCTGAAGCTTTGAATGTTATCATATATACTGAGCGTGAATATTAATATTTGCAGGTAAAGGTAAAATAGAGGGAATAATCTCCGTGCATGAGAACACGACAGGTCACGGCCAACCCTCGAGTCTGATTGTTTTTGTTGTGTTTTTTAGATCAGTTACGTTTTAGTTAATCTCTAAGTCTAGTGTTTTTTGCTGGTTTAACTTTTCACTCGATGTGCAGAGCGGGAACTCAACTAAAGAAATCACAAAACAATAACATTTCTGGAGGTAAGTTTAAACAGAGTGGTTATTATGCTAGTAATGTAGATAATGTGTCATTTTAATATATTTATTTTCCTTTTAAACCAAACCACGAACTAGGCGAATGCATCTTAGTGTACTGAGTAAAGAAAAGAAGGAATATCATGTCCTCATCTCTATGAAGCGTTGGCCAGTCAGTTTCTTTAATGAAAACAATATCCTTTGGAAAATACAATATTAACATGTCTGATCCAATTGAGAGCCTGAGACCTCTTAATGGCATTTGATGTATACTTTACATTTACCTCAAGGAAGTATTATATAACATTTAATATCATCTGGATTGCTACACGTAACATGGTGTTAGTAAATATATATTAGAATGGGATGTTTTATGGTGGAACAAAGGGAAATGTAGTATAATTACTGGCATGGTAATTATTATCAAAGTGACAATTTATGATACAATGGTAAAAATGTTACAGCAGGAGAATAAGAGTAAGTGTTACAAAAATATAAACACTTAGACAACAGACACACTTTAAGAGATGATTTAAAGGAAGCTGGAACGTATAGCCTTTTTCCTTGGATGGTTGGGGGTAAGTTATTCCACACCTTCACACACCTGACAACACACTTGACAACACACCTGACAACACACCCAATCAACCCCAGACTTTTCCCTTAAATTAAAAAAATAAAACTTGTTGGTTGATCTTAAGACTTCACCACATACCACAGATTACTGCCTTTATTAATACACCTTCTCATATTGTTGTGACTTACTGAGTACACACGGAGCAGTCACAGCTTGGCCTGACTTAGAGAGTTATACATTATCTCTAATACCTTTTAATTGTTGATGGCTTAGTGTAATTACTAACTTTGTGACGGGATTAAAGACCTTAGTTGTTGAAACGCAGTGGTAACTTAATAATTACAATAACTTGGCCTAAAGTCACGTACAACATTGATCATATTAGTTAATATATTTAAGAGGTTACGATTAGGTTACGTTAGTTTCAGTAAGGTTAGTTTATGAGGTTAGTTTAGGTTAGGTTAGGTTGTTTACCAGATACTAACATATCAATGATGATCAGATGGTGACATGTAAGACCATCCTTGGTGACAATTAAACACCGAGTAAATTCTACTACAAGGATTTATTAGATGACGAGGCAGAGTGACTATTAAACCTGGGAACACAAGGAAGTAACATGGTCGACACTGTACTCAGCCGCCTTCACCTCCCTTCAGCTAAAGACAAGGTACCCATCCTCAGCTGGGTCGACAGGGTATGCCCCGAGGGTGTGAGCGCGAAAGCCATACTAACACTGACGTAAAGTGGTTCTATTATTATGATCTAGATAGTAATATTGGACAGATAGATAAATACAGAGAGTGTTATTTAGACAGATAGATACATAGAATAAGATATGTATTATTAAAACATACCTACATAGAGTGAGAGATATAACTGACAGAGGAATAAACAGATAGACAGATAAATATACAGTAAAACCATCAAACAAAATCTATTGGTTCAGCATGTCCATAATGCAGGTATACAATATACAGAAACAGTGCAAATATACAATGTCATACACAATGCATATATACACACAATGTACGAATGTAGGCTACATAGACACCAAAGGTCTACTAACCATGTACATAAACAGTACAGGTATACAAACAAGGTATATAGACAATGTAAGCATACAAACAATGTACATGAGATGGTGTATGTATACAAACAATGTACACATAGACAGTGCGGATATACAAATAATGGTAAAGATTAACTCAATTCAACCAAGGATAAGCCAGAACAACCAGACAGGTAGACAGACAGGTAGATAATTCACCGTCTCGATATCAATTAGCACGAAACACCACTTCGATCACCGCCAACACAACGCACCACCACCACCTCCACCAGCAGGAACAGCAAGGACAGCACAGTACCAGCGACCCACAGAAGGAAAGCGCCTTGGAGATCCGTCAGACTTAAAGGCAAGGAACCGCCACTCACGCTTCCACCACCGTCCACCCCGTCGCCCATGCCACCGCCGCCCAGACAGTGAATAGCATTATGTTTCTGCGACGCCCGTTTTAACACACCCATATCTCGCAACCAAATCAGTCTGTTGAGGCATTATAATGGTCGAGCATTATACCCTCTTAAATCATATTCAGTCAAAATAATATCCTAATGTTTTGTAATATAGGAAGTTTATCATAGCCCCGTGAAGAAGAGAATATATTAGAATAAACAATATTAATAGAGCACTGAAGATATAAGTGGAATTAGAAGAAAATATAATAACGGGAAACACTTGATACTTACAAAACTGATACAAATTACTGTATTATAATTATCAATCACAAATACAATTACAAAGTTTTCATTATTGCAAAAGTACATACAAAAATTAATTTAAATAACAATTGAATAATGTTAATAATAACAAAACTTCATTCAAATCAATTAAATAAAAATAGTTAAATACGTTCATTACTACGAGACTTTAGAAATAATTAAAACAATCTCTCTCTCTCGCTCTCTCTCTATAAGACCACCACCACCCACCTCCTGTTGAAGAGCTGCCTGAAGAAGGAGTTGTTCTGTAGGATGATGTAGCTGAACTGGGAGGAGAGGGGCTCAGGTTCTACGTAGAAGGCACAAGGTTGGTTGGGTCCTGCGCCGCTGTTCTGACGGTAAACTACTCCCAGGGCAGAGACTGTGGGTAAGAGAGACGGTAAACTTGCGGTGAGGAAGACACAGACAGACACACACCGACATACATACATACATAAATACATACATACATAGAAACTGTATAGCCTTAGCTGCAAGCCCCTCCAAAAATTCCATGTCTCACACACAGCGTTAAGGGTGAGTCTGCCAGTTAGTTTATCAATTTATTTATTTCGTCGTCAATTTACTAACTTGAGCGCTGTCTCTCTCTCTCTCTCTCTCTCTCTCTCTCTCTCTCTCTCTCTCTCTCTCTCTCTCTCTCTCTCACCCAAGTAAATGTATTTGAGAGTTACTAAAAGATTTATTCGGCTAGTATACGATATATCACCATATAAGAAAGAACAACCTGCTAAAAGCTTTCCTATAACGATATACCTTTTCATATAACAGAACAGAGAGCAATATACCCTGGAACTATTCATATGATATACCCAAAATATATCAAGTATTCCAATTATACCCAAAACTAACATACTACGAACATGTATGATGCTGAGAGAGAGAGAGAGAGAGAGAGAGAGAGAGAGAGAGAGAGATGTACTCAGTTGTACTCACTAATAGAGGCTACAGGACTTTCGCTGAACCTGTCCATGACGGTGTTGTGATCGACTCGGCCAAAGGGATAGATGCTACCACGCTCCTGGGCCACACGAAACAGTTTTTGGAAGGTGTCCAGGCGAGAATACTGCAACAGAGAGAGAGAGAGAGAGAGAGATTAAAACAGAACCCCTAACAACAAAACCTCAGAACCAACCCCTCACTCACACCAAGAATCCACCCGGAACCCCTATATACCCCTAGGATTTCCAGGAGGAACCCCCAAAGTAATCTCCCAAAAGCCCCCCATAGAAATTCCCCGATGGAACCCTACCCTTAAGAACCCCTTCCTGAGACCTAACGCCCCATAACACCTCCAAAGAACTCCAACGAAGCCCCACGATCCCACTCCAAGAACTACCCTATAAGTCCCTCCTCTCCTCGTCCAAACCATGAAGTTGTTACCTTGAAGTTGTCGTAGTGGCTGAACCCTTTTGTGAGGAGAGGAGCGTAACCTTGCTGCAACATCTCCTCCGGGGTGCTGGGGTACTGCTGCAGGCGAGGTATGGATAAGAACGCCGTCAGGTTACCGCTGGAGGGTGATGAGGGAGAGGTGGAAGTGTTAGTGTTGAGTGTAATGGTGGATCTCTCTCGTTGGCCGACGGAAACTCAAATGTATAAGAGCCAACAGTCACCAAACATTTCCACCTAACCTAACCTAACCTAACCTAACCAACCTATATGAGAGAGACGTAATTGGAATAACCTAACCTAACCTAACCTAACCCAACCTATATAAAAGAGATGTAATTGGAATAACCTAACCTAACCAAACCTAACTTAACCAACCTATATGAGAAAGACGTAATTGGAATAACCTAACCTAACCTAACCTAACTTAACCAACCTATATGAGAGAGACGTAATACTGACATGTGTATTAAGACAGCCTCTCAGTGCCCATATAATTATCACAATAATATGAGACATAGATACGTACACACACACTCACCTATATGAGACAAGGACACGTACACACACATACACACACTCACCTGTATGAGACAAGGACACGTACACACACATACACACACTCACCTGTATGAGACAAGGACACGTACACACACATACACACACTCACCTGTATAAGACAGACACGTACACACACACTAACCTGTACGTGGCGTAGACCACTAGGGCAAGTACGAGACCAGACACGTACACCAAACGCGAAGCCGTGGTGTTAGGGCATAGCATTCCTAATAGATAGATAGATAGATAGATAGATAGATTAGATAGATAGATATGAGGAGATTCTACATTTCTGACACTTCTGGGATGAATTTGGGGGAACACACACACACACACACACACACACACACTGCATTAAAATTGACAAATACAAAATTATTGTTGTCATCATCATCATTATCATCATCATCTCCCTCTTTTCTCACCTTGATTAACGATGCAGCGATAGGCGATGCCCAGGAAGAAGAAAACGGAGTGCGGGTTACTGTGGTCACCGCGGCAGGGGAGACTAGTAAAGTACAGCACCGTCCCCAGTAGTAAGATCATCCCCACCAAACATGCCCACACCTACAAGAACAGATGTGGGAGGTGGATTAGGTGTTGTGAAGGTTTGAGGGCACTTTGTATGTAAGGGAGGATAAGGATAAGGGGAAGTGAGGGAGGGTGAGGGAGGATTAGGGTGAAGGAGAAGGTAATGGTAGGGTGAGGTGTGTTACTTATCTAAGGAGGTTTTTGCTCATACGAGTAAAAATGAGGAACATGACTCATCAGGGGCGTGAAGATGAAGAATATGACTCACCAGAGGCGTGAAGATGAGGAAGACGACGAAGATGGGCTTGAGGATGTGCTTAGCGGGGAACATGAGGTAGACGCTCGACTCCAGCAGGTGACTCGTGAAGGACACCACCTGACGCCTCTCGTAGGTGATGCTGAGGGATGACAGCCCCACCTCCACCTGCTGCAAAGTGGCCACGCCAGGTAAGAGGAGGTGGAGAGAGGTGGGAGGGAGGTAAGGAATGCAGAGAGAGGTGGCAGGGAAGAGGAGGGTAGCGGGGAGGGTGGAGAGGGGGAGAGGGAGGTAAAGAGAAGTGAGAAATGTGGAGACAGGAGGAGGGACGTGGAGTGAAGAGAGTAAGGGGGGAAAGGGAGAAGAATGTAAGAAAGGTAGAGAGAGGTGGAGGGAAGTGGGGGAGGTGAGGAAAGTAGAGAGAGAGGGAGAAGAATGTGAGAAAGGTAGAGAGAGATGGAGGGAAGTGGAGGAGGTGAGGAAGGTAGAGAGAGAGGGAGAGAGAAGAGGAAGGAGGTGAGGAAGGGAGGAGAAAGAGACACTTAGATAATTAAGTAGTACATATGTTAATTCGTCATAGTATCAAAATAATAAAACACACACACACACACACACACACACACACACACACACACACACACACCCCGAGCACACGCATACCTCTCACCAATGTATCTCAGGTTCAATCCCATGGTCGGATGTGAGAGGGATATTATCCAATGTGACAAAGACCCACTCGCTGCCTTACCCTCGTCAAAGAGGTTCTCACCTTCTCGGCCACGGCTCCCACCAGGCCAATCCAGGAGCCATTGATAAGCCGAGTACCGTAGCCGCGGACCTGAGACACGTTGTACCTGAAGTGTAGACTCTGCTGTAAGAAGGCCATCACCTCCGCCAGGAACCCCACCAGGTGAGGTCCTCCATCTCCTGCAGACTCCACCACACGGAGAGTTGGGGAGCTCTGGTGGATCCAGAATTTGAATAAAATTTGGCATTGACTTTGAAGATTGTGTTTCCAAATATAAAATAAATATGAATTTGATAATGTCTTTACCAAAAAAAATGGAAACAATAATGAAAAGTTTAATAATAATAATAATAATAATAATAATAATAATAATAATAATAATAATAATTATAATTAATAATAATAATAATAGAGATTAATCATATCATTCCTATCCAAACGACATACGTCACCACGTAACCTAAACTAACAAACTAAGGTAACTACAATAGATCTGAGATAACAGGTAAGAAAGGATGAAGTGAAGAGAAATCAACACAAACCAAATAACCTTTCAACACCTGGCACTCCCCTCCCCCATCTCACCCTCACCTGGCCCTCACCTGTCTCATAATACGATCTTCAAGCCTCACTAGTTTCTGGTATGATTTTCTTCTGAGGATAAACTATTGATGTCAATCATTGTTCAGTAACTCCTTTGACAAAACATATACCCGACTTCCTTTTGTTTCTACGTGTGTGTGTGTGTGTGTGTGTGTGTGTGTGTGTATTTCTTGTATATTTCGTGTATTCATTGTACATTTGTTTGTTTTCGCCGCCTGTATCTCGTGAACATCTGTACCTGTATCATGATTGTATTTTACCTGTACGACGCCCACCCTGATGCTGTAGTTACTAAGGGTGATGGGGAAGGCGAAGGGGTCACCCACGAGACGCAGCCCACCACGCCCACGCCCACACCCCACCCGCGACCACTGCACGCCCGTTGAAGAGTAAACCAGTTTGTATACTAAGACAACACACGTAGCTGCAAAGAAATGATCTTAATAATAATGATAATAACAATAATAATAATAATAATAATAATAATAATAATAATAATAATAATAATAATAATAATAATAATAATAATAATAATAATAATAATAAAACAATAATAATAATAGTAGTAATGGTAGTAGTAATAGTAGTAGTAGTAGTAGTAGTAGTCGTATATAAACACTTTATTGCACCTTGACCTTCACAGGACACTATCAAACCAAGTGCTCCTATTACTACTACTGTTACAACTATTACTACTACTGTTACAACTATTACTACTACCGTTACAACTATTAATACTACTGTTACAACTATTACTACTACCGTTACAACTATTACTACTACTGTTACAACTATTACTACTACCGTTACAACTATTACTACTACACAAAACCAATTACCAAACCAAACTCTAAAGACTATTTTACTACACCATCCAAGTTGTCGTAATTGCTTTGTAAATCGTGTCAATAAATGTACACCGTTGTATTAAACCAAAATAAAAACAGAGGTATATCATGGAGCTACCCAAAGCACATCTGTTGCAACGAGAGACGTATTATACCCTAAGAGCAGTCACCGGTGTTATCGCTGTAGCAACCAGAATAATGCTTTAGTATTTAATTTAACTTTACCATTTTATCATTTTATCTCTCTCTACACACACACACACACACACACACACACACACACACACACACACACACACACACACACACGTTTTCAAAACTAAATGGAATTTGATCTGTTACTTTATTGTCAAACCATCTGAGGTTGACTACCAGGTTAGTATTTTTTATGAACCTATTAGTACAATGCTCTCAGGGGAGTATTGTACAATCTCTCTCTCTCTCTCTCTCTCTCTCTGCTGACCTGGTGAGCGGTCCTGGTGCGTCTTGGTGACCTGGGTGACAAGAAGGAGGTTGAACTGACTGGTGAGAGTGTGGGTCACCAGGAAGCGTGAGTAGTGGTGAAGACTCCCCTCGCTCACCAACACCCACACTTGTCCAGGAGTCACCACATCCGCCCCCACTGCCTAAAACGCGTGAGAAATACATGTATAATAGGTGAGAAACTTATGGGAAATATCTGAGAAATGTATGAGACGTGAACAATATCTGAGCCGCCCCCCCCCCCTCTCTACAGTCAGGTGAGCAACGAGAGACTCACCTGTTTCACCGCCTTGGACAGGTAGTCGCCGGAGCCGTAGAGGACGACCGTGGCTCTAGAGTACTGGTTGGGTCGTTCCTTCAGGAGATTAACGACCTCATCCACGTCTCTGTGTACCTCCAGGGGCATTATCCTGACCTTCCCCAGGGACGTCTGAGACTTTCCTGGGGACGCCGTGACTTCTTCCGGTGTCCTAGGAGGTGTCTCTGGTCTTCCTCGGTTTGTCCGGTTGTCCTGTAAGGATGTCTTGGTTTCCTTCAGGATTGCCAAGGGCTCTCCTAGGATCGGAGTGATCAGGGTCACTCCCAGAGACGCCAGATCCTTCTCTTCATCATCCATACCTTCAAGAAGGACCCCGAATCCTACCTGGGCTGACTGGATCAATTGCTCTGTAGAGAACCAACGGAGGTGAGAGAGAGAGAGAGAGAGAGAGAGAGAGAGAGAGAGAGAGAGAGAGAGAGAGAGAGAGAGAGAGAGAGAGAGAGAGAGAGAGAGAGACGGGAGGTGACAGACACACACACACGCACACACGCACACACACACACACACACACACACGCACACACACACACACACACACAAACAATTCAGTTAATCAACCAGTTTGTCAGTCACTCAATCAGTAAGTCACAATGAGTCAGTAAGTCGCACTCAATTAGTAAGTCACAGTCACTCAGTAACATCCAGTCTATCAGGCAGTAAGCCAGTCAGTCAATAATGTGCAGTAGGTCAGTAACTCAGTCAGTGGAGTCATAATCAGTCAGTCAGTCAGTCAGACAGTCATTCATTCACAGTTACTAAGTCAGGCTGTTAGAGATGATGATGATGATGATGATGATGATGATGATGATGATGATGATGATAATGATGATGATGGTGACGGTGATGATGATGATGATGATGATGATGATGATGATGATATGACAACAGTAGGAGGGTTTGGACAGAACTTACCAGGCGGGTCATGTGCGAGGTAGACGATGTGGGCGTGGGCTAGCGAGTGGTGGGCGTAGAGAGTGTCCAGCAGGGAGGCGGTAGTTAGGAGGGTGGGCGGCAGGGTGGGTGGTGTCGGAAGCCGCCCAAGAAGCGATCCACCCTCAGCCATCACGCCTGTTCAGAGAAACAGATAGATAGATAGATAGATAGATAAAGAGAGAGAGAGAGAGAATTTAACACAGCCATTACAACTTAAACAGCCAATGAACAGCAACACAGCACGAGAGAGAGGCAGCAATAAACAGCAACACAGCACGAGAGAGAGGAGCACAAACAGAAACACAGCACGAGAGAGAGCAGCAACAACAGCAACACAGAGAGAGAGGCAGCAATAAACAGCAACACAGCACGAGAGAGAGGCAGCAATAAACAGCAACACAACACGAGAGAGAGGCAGCAATAAACAGCAACACAGCACGAGAGAGAGGCAGCAATAAACAGCAACACAGCACGAGAGAGAGGCAGCAATAAACAGCAACACAGCACTCTAAAACAGCGCCACATACCCCATAAACAGACGAGAGCGATCGACAACACCAGCGCCATTCCTCCCATGTGTCTAAGTCGTTGCGGCGTCGATTGGAACTATAACCAGAGTGAGGGATATGTGCTTCAGTACTCGACCAGAGATGACTGAGGGATAAACTCTTATATTCGGGAAGGAGAACGATGACAACTCCGCTTGTTCGTTTATAATGACGACCCGATCGACGACCACCTGATTACAGAGAATTGGGGAGGAAGTTGGATTGTTCGTAATTGTGTTCTATTATATGTGGTTAATGACATTGGATTAAGAAAAACCTTTTGGTGGTAAGTCAGTCTCTCACTTTATAACACAGAATGACACTATTACATCACTCTACTCGGGACAGATTTTCAGTACTTGTCAAAAATCTGTCCATATTTGATGACACTCAAGAACGTTTGGAAGGTTTACGTCCGATTATTATGGATCTCGACAACCAAAGTTCCGATTTAAAAAGAAAATTATCTTTCAGTTTCCGATTTCAGATTTTTTATACAGGTAAAAGTTATCTTAATTAATTGTAAAAGAGCTTAATCTGACCAGTAAAAACACAGATTTTACACCTAGTCACGAATCCCAACAGAGTTCCAGATTCCTGATTTCTAGCCAGATAATTAGGTTTGCCTCTCTGAAATCTGTAGGAATTCCAGAGTCGTCGTTTTCATTTGATCAAAGGTAATTATGCCATTTGATCAGGCTAGTAAAGGTAAGGTCACCTGCCCACGAGGCCATCACACCTCTTAAAATAATGGTCCTACCAGGTAAGGTCAACACAGATGACGTCATACTCGTTCCTTCTTCATACTAACGAAAGATCACGCTATTAAAGGTCACAGGAGATAAGTTAAACTGCTCTCTTTGTGGTCCTTCTTTCTGACCTCATTGTTTCAGGTCACTCATGGGGATTACTGGGATTGCTACTGGGATCACAAGGATTACTACTCGGTTTATTGGGGGTTACTACTGGGATTACTACAAGGATTACTGGGATTACTACAGGAATTACTGAGATTACTACAAGGATGGCTGAGATTATTACAAGGATTACTGGGATTACTACAAGGATAACTGGGATTACTACAAGGATTACTGGGATTACTACTGGCTTTATTGGGGTTACTACTTGGTTTATTTGGTGTTACTACAAGGATTACTGAGATTACTACAAGGATTAGTAGGATTACTGAGATTACTAAAAGGATTACTGAGATTACTACAAGGATTACTGGGATTACTACAGGAATTACTGAGATTACTACAAGGATGGCTGAGATTATTACAAGGATTACTGGGATTACTACAAGGATAACTGGGATTACTACAAGGATTACTGGGATTACTACAGGAATTACTGAGATTACTACAAGGATTACTGGGATTACTACAGGAATTACTGAGATTACTACAAGGATGGCTGAGATTATTACAAGGATTACTTGGATTACTGAGATTACTGCAGGGATTACTGGGATTACTGCAAGGATTAATGAAATTACTACAAGGATTACTGGGATTACTACAAGGATTAATGAAATTACTACAAGGATTACTTGGATTTCTACACGAATTACTGAGATTACTACAAGGATTATTTGAATCACTACGAGGATTACTGAGATTACTACAAGGATTACTGAGATTACTACAAGGCTTACTGAGATTACTACGAGGATTACTAAGATTACTACAGGGATTACTGGGATTACTACATACTCATAATCAGGGCCTTAGGATACCATTTCAAAGGCCCTGGAATACCATCTTAATGACCCTGGAAGGCCATCTCAAGGACCCTGCGATACCACCTTAGAGACCCTAGGAGACCATCTCAAAGGCCCTGGGAGACCATCTCAAAGACCCTGGGAGACCCTAGGAGACCATCTCAAAGACTCTGGGAGACCATCTCAAGGACCCTGGGAGACCATCTCAAGGGCCCTTGGAGATCATCTTAAAGACCCTGGGAAACCATCTCAAGAACCCTGGGAGACTACCTCAAAGACCCTGGGAGACCACCTTAGAGACCCTAGGAGACCACCTTAGAGACCCTAGGAGACCACCTTAGAGACCCTAGGAGACCATCTCAAGGGCCCTGGGAGACCATCTCAAAGACCCTGGGAGACCATCTGAAAGACCCTTGGAGACCATCTCAAAGACCCTGGGAGACAACCTCGAAGACCCTGGGAGACCATCTCAAAGACCCTGGGAGACCATCTCAAGGGCCCTTGGAGACCATCTCAAAGACCCTGGGAGACTACCTCAAAGACCCTGGGAGACCACCTTAGAGACCCTGGGAGACCATCTCAAGGGCCCTGGGAGACGTTTTTACTGTAGCCGATCAGAATCAAGTCCTCCCTGCCAGCCTCGCTAGACACCTTGATCAATGTTGTCGGGGTGACGATGTTGGAAAGGGGGGGGGGCTGAGGGGTGGAGGAGGGGGGGGAGGGGTGGAGGAGGGGGGGTAAGGGGTGGAGGAGGAGGGGTGAGGGGTGGAGAAGGAGGGGAGGATGAGGTTAGAGGGAGAAAGAGGAGGAGGAGAATGGGAGTATTAAGAGGAATTGAATAGGATTTTACCACGTAACCGCAGCTAGTTTGTTGTGTAACCATATCCGCTTCCTGTGAGCGGTAGCACAGAATTGCCATAGACTTGATTCTTTATCTTCACTACTTGGCTCCCTTTGACATCCTCCAATTTAAGTGATTCACGCGACTTGTCTCAGAATCCAAACAAAAATATAAGTAGTTTGTTGTCTTAAGAGGGAGGAAGAGGAGTGGAAGGGTGGAAGTACTAAGAGGGAGGAAGAGGAGTGGAAGGGTGGAAGTATTAAGAGGGAGGAAGAGGAAAGCAGATGAGAAGGTATATGAAATGAAGGCGGGAGGACTATGAAAGTAGAAGAAGAAGAAGAAGAAGAAGAAGAAGAAGACAATTTGGGTAGTTAGCAGTATTGGCAAGCAGCAGGGTAACCGTGGTTGTGGTAGTTGTGGTAATAATAATAGCTGTAGTGGTAAAGATAGTTTTCTCTCTTCTCTTCTCTCTCTTTCACAGATAGATAGATAGATAGGATAGATAGATAGATAGATAGATAGATACCCTGACTTAACTATCACCAGGTAATGTTTGTGTACCTGCCGCTGACACTCGTAATAATTAGTAATATTTGTTGAATCAGGTGTGTTGTGAGTCGTATCTCTCTTGTGTACATCCCAAAGACACTGAACTTTAGGTGCCTACATATGAGCAACTCTCAATAAAGTATATATAACGTATTTATATTCTTATATAATCATACAGTTCGAAGATGTGGCGAAAGTGTAGCTAGAAGAGGAGGTTGGAGGCCACATTATTAAAAAAGTAGTAGTAGTAATAGTGTAGTAGTAGTGTAGTAGTAATGGTAGTATGTTTTGAGAACTTTACCTACAGTAGTTTGTTCGTTTGGGGCAGTGCAGATATAGCACACACTGTAAACTAAGAATTATTTTCGGTAAACACGTTGTCAATGTGGCCGGGTACTGTACTCGACAGCCTTCACTTCACCAGCTGTAAAGTTAGGCGCCCATTTCCTGGTGGGACGAACTGGTGATGTCCCAGACTCGAACCACCGACCATTACGGCAGGTTTTCATCCCAGGTTTTCATGCAGATAAAATTCCTGCCTCGAGGGTTCAAAGTAGTAGAGTTCACGAGAGGGTTCAGAGTAACGATTTTTACGCCTGGTTTAACAAGGTGTTTAGTTGAAGTAAGTTTATGCATCTGAAGGTTTAATTGAAAAAAAACTTTAGTCGTTCAAAATGAAAGAAAAATTACCTCTGGGGTTCAATCTAGGAAGTTTTTATTTTT